CCACAGCACACAATCTCACAACTTTGCCCTGAAGAAACAGGAGACAGATGAAGAAATATGGGCTTTATCAATTACATGGAAGGAGTACCAGGCAGTCAATCATGTGAAATAATAAACATGATCAAACTTCATTAAAAATGAAAAATTAATCAAGATTTACACATGGGCAAGCAGCAGGAGCCATCCAGCAAGGCTCCAAAGGGAAGGAGGAGGTTGGGTTGTTGAGTGTTAACACCCCTCTGGGGACAATCTCGAGCCTGACCATATGGATCATAGTGAATAACACCAAACCACATGGGTTTGGCCTGGCAGGACCGCTTCTGCTGGCACAGCTTTTGCCTGTTACCTAGGAACAAGGGTCTGTAAGATTAGAAAAATGCTTCTTTACATCAATAGGACACATAACAAAAGAGAAAGCCAAGAAGGGTAAGAGCAGCAATTTTCCCTTTATATTTCCTACATATTAATATGAAAAGCTAAAGTGTTAATACATTTTATCAGAATAGCTTATTCATATGTTGTACTTTTAGAAAGCAAACAAAGCAAAAAAAAACCCAACATTGTATGAGGTTTGCCAAATTATGCAACAATGCATTTTGCAATTAGAGCCTTCCTAGCCTAAAGTATTGTGTATTACCTGAAGCAGGAAATGTAGATGAGGTGAAGTTTGAAAATATATTAACTGTTCTCTCCCTCCTGATATACTCAGACATTTCACGAATTGTTTAAAGTATAATTTTCAATATAAGCATCTCATTCACTATGTTGGTGCTAGCATTAAGTAGGCAAAACCTAAAAAATTACACCATTACAAAATTTCCAATAACTAGCTACCCAAAAGTAATCACACTCACAGGAAAATTAATCCCATTTTTAAAGAAAATAGTTTATGTTCTTTCAGAGCTTGAATTCTGTAACAAAAAAAATAATAATTCAAAGGTTTATTGCTGTACTACTCTTTCCCAGATACCATTTTGTTGCCTGCTCCCTTTCCCTACATATTCAAATCACAAACCTTGAGGAATAAGTGATTTTTCTGCCTGCATTTGAAACTGGACTGCCTTCAGCAAATCACAGCTCATTTGATAAGTTAAGGAGCGATTTACAAACGTAGCGCTTTTCTGACCAATAATAATAAATTATCAGTGCTAACTGAATTGATGCTTCTCGCTTCATTTATTTTTAAAACCGGTTCCATCATTCAACAAATAAACCACATCAATCTAATAACCTATTCAATGAAGCAGAAAGCATATTGACTCCCCCTGCAAGAACATGTTCCTCCTACATAATTCAATTGAGCATATTCCATGCTATGCTACAGTTTCCGGCTCACTTTCTCCGAGAACCCTTTTGGATGCTTTTGACAACTAAAAATATGGTAATTTGTAAACAAAGGAGATTTTAGGTAGGAAAAGATAAAGGAACTTTCTTTTCTTGGTACATTATTTGTAAGCTAACATTTTCTGAAGGAAGGGTTTTGAAAAATTGTGTGTTGAGCACTTAGCTCTCCCGTCTGGCAATCTGAACAAAAAATCTACAAAGAAACCATATGAAGGGTTCAACGCTGGACCCAATTAAAAAAAGATATGCATAAAATATAAAAAAATTTAAATCAATAACTTTTTAAATAAAACCATGCCCTGATTCCCTGACCTATATCTGGACTCATCCTTATGCAATCTTGTTGACATCCATGGGCTCTCCACAGGCATATATGGTCCACCATTACGTGATCTGGTTGCCCAGTCAAACTCTAAATTTGCAACTTTGCTTGTGCACAAAACCCCCTGATGACTTGAAAGCTACATACATATTTTCATTTTCTTCATATTCAAAGTCCAAATGCATTACATAAAATGCAGCAACCCTAAACAAACTGCTGAGGTTCAAAACTATATTTGTTGGAGACTAGTCAATGTATATTTATTAGTTTTATTACTTAAAAAAAATTCTGGGTGAGGTAGTAACTGCATTTGCATTTGCAAAAGTAGTATCGTTAAGTGCAAAACCCTGCATGGCTACTAGATGAAGTTCTGCTATAAAGTAATGTTAAAAGATCATGGGTCAGGCTGTTTAAACAACTCATCAACTACCTTAGCCTTGTAAATTATATTGGTATTTCCCTCAGAAATTAGATACAATATTTGCTGTACTTGCACTTAAAACTATCCACATAATATAGCAAGATCAGTAACACACACTTTAGCATCTTCTCAGCACTGGTTTATTATAGGATAACATAATACTTCATTCAGAAACTAATCTGCTTTAACTTCAGGGATGTATATGTTCATATTTAAGCTAAATTCTGACCTGATGAAAATGTACCAGCATACACTGTCACCCTTTTTTACCTCGTAAGAATAATCATCATCATCACCACCACCACCTATTACATGATTTGCAGCTGAGATTTTAAGCATCTTTTCTGGGCAAAAAAAGCATTCCTCATCATGCATTTTATAAAATAGGCATTGCCTCTGGTTTACAACTAGGGGGTGGGGTGGTCCATTAATCTAGGTTTAATTTTTTTTAAAAGTACCTGTGGAAAATGCTTGAAAAACCTCACCTAGATAATGAGTGAAAAAGTTATTCAAATTAGTTCTGTACTGCTGAAAAAAATTGGACGAGACAAATCTAAGTTCTCAGAGTTCTGCTCTGATTTAGTTACAGTATATTGCTCTATTTAAACAGTCAGCAATGCTCATATGAAAATATTTTACCTACAAAACTTTTTTTTTCTTTGCAGGATGATTATCTGTGGCACAGGAGGACCAACATCTCCTTGGGGTCCCACCAAACTACTGAAAAATACATACTATAAGAAAACTTTTTTTCTTAATACATGCTTGGCTGGACATGTAATGTAGAGGTGGTATCAACAGCTGCGTTTTCTTTATTCCTTTCTGTCTATGCTCTTACAGAAAAACTGCATAAATGCCTCCTTTCCCTTCCAAGAAAAAAAAGTAAAAAGTACAACACAGCTGATAAAATGTAAACGACCCAATAGCTGAAACCAAGGTCTCCAGGGCATTATGTGCCAGTTTTCTGGATCAATCCCCAAGTTTATATTTTCACAAATCTTTTTACATGCGGTTTGATTTTAACATTTTAATGAGCAAAAAGTGCATCTATAGCAGGCAGTCACCACAGCTAAAGTGCAGGGCATGAACTGTGTCCCTGGAGGGATCCCGCCTGGCCGTGTCACCACTGGCTTTAGGACATACGCCACCTGGTTCCACGTCCCCAGGTTCCAACTCTTTTCATAATCAAAACACTGCTGACATTATAAACCCCACATGGGTTTTCTAAAATCCTTCCCAATCAATACAGCCAACACATAACTTATCGGAGACAACACAGAGCTCATTGATTAAGTTTGGTTTCAGTAGCAAAGTTTTCAAAATAAATGAGCCAAGAATACAGAATTCAGCCCTTTTGTGTCACAGGGCAGTTTATGGAGGCAGCAGTCTCCGAAAGGTTTCCCTCCCACCTCCCCTCTAGTATATACTTTAAGGGTGCACAA